TAGAATATCTTTATTCTTTTATTAATTTAGGGCAGTGCCACATTTGTTGATTTATAATTTCTTATCTGTAAAAAAGAATTACTTTGGTAACTTTCTCTATAGGCACTGTCTCCAAGCTCCAGTCTTCCCAGTGATGTGCAATGGCTACATGAAGCTATTCTTGCACTGGTGCAGGTACAGAAACGTTGGGTCAGAGCAACTTATCATGATTAAGTTCTGCTCATCTGCATTCCATAACGGTTGATCGAATTTGTATTTTCTAAACGTCCTTGTCCAACTGTAGTCAGCTCACATTTCTTAGGTGAGTTGTGGAAGATGTGAATACAAAACTTAGGTTCTCAATGAAATATTTGGCTCCTAGTCTGCTAAAACTGCTACAAATTTGGGGAGTGTAAACCAATACAAATTTATTACTACCTTGTGTTTCTAAAGTGCTGTATACCACTCTGACATTCTGACATGTAAGTCACTATTTCTGTGGCTCTGACCCTATTCCTCCTATCTGTTAAATGTTCTTGTGATCACACTGCCCTCTCTCCTCGCAAGATAATCTTCCAAATGAAAATTTGGATACAATGTTACGATTAGAAATATACTCATGTTTTTGTGTAAGAGCGTGTGTATTTTTTTTTATGGCGTGCATTCTCTCTACCACATCTATAAATGTTTCTTTTCCACAAAGAAATATTAAATGGTATTCCCTCGAATCACGGCTGCCTGTGGCATGCACTGGAACACAATATCAACTACAATTACAAGTAATCCTTAGGCTTGTGGGACACAGAAGCCCTGCCTTGACTTTAGATTGCTCAGAATTGTGCTCTTTCTTTTAAAACACTGTGTCAGTGGCTCCCAAGTTAATTTTCAATTAAGCTCCTCACTTAACGTCTCTCCACAGCAGCCTTATCACCAACCGTAACCATCCAGACCTTCATAACTAACCCGAGACTCCAGGAGCGCGCACAGCCATGCTAGCGTGGAGTTAACGGAGTCAGACGAGAAGCTACTCAACAATGTTTCTGAAGTCATGTACTTTTAAGTAAGTAGTGAAATAATAAAAGAAGCCCACAGGCATTCTTAGCTCTAGAGTTATTTTTGACTGCTAAAGTTATATCTTCCAAGTTTGAATATGGGAGGTTGTTCAAGTATTATAAATAACAGCATCCTGGACATTTGTTAGCAGAACTTTTAAATAAGAAATCTTCAAAAATCACTCCTAAACATTGGGGGCTGGGCCCAAACAATAAACAAGTGCAAAAGTAAAAAAAAAAAAAACAAAAACAAAAAGCAAAAAAACAAAAAAATCCATCATAGGCACTTTTAACCTGCAATGATTGGTTACTGACAAGACTTAGTCAACAGAAAGGATGCTGTCTGAACTTACACTTTGGCTCCATGGAGGCTCATTCTTAGTATCAGCAACACTTGCTCGTTAAGTAAGAGGTTCTTTGTGAATAACATTGTCTTAGGGCTTCAAGTATTTACTGCTCACATTTAAAATAAACACTTTTACCTTTTACTAATATACACTTCTTTGTTTTACATTAAAGTAGTTTATTCTTATCTCAGAAGAGAGAACACAGAATCTACACCCTTAACCTAATTATGGTAAAATTTACAGCACACTTGAAAAATGGGTCAACATTTTATGACTTACAAACCTAAGTCAGGTTAGCATTTTCCAACTAGATTTTATTAGATAGAAGTTTATATGTACTATTATCTTTTAAAAACAAGAATCACAGAAATAGTGATAAATATTAGCCTGCAAATACAAATACACGCTACATACACACGTGACCAAAACTGATTGAACACATAACCTGTCTTTCAGGACTAGAATCTGAAAATATCTCAGAAGTCGGGAGTTTAGACAACACTTAGAAACTGCATCTTTAAGTAGAACTTGTACATATCAAGCACTAATAAACCAAAGCTTGTTATTTTTGGAAAAAGTTAAAATACTGTTCATCTTAAATTATCCTGATTTTACTTAAGTAGGAGAGGATGAAAATGTACCTTTGACTGGTTCTAAGAGCAAAGTAATTCTACGTGTTTCTAGGTAAATTGACAAGAAAGCAATTTTTCAAGTTTTGTAACAGCTTATTAACAACATCCTATTACACATCTGGATTATTAACACATAAATTTATCGTTGAATAAATGAGCATTTTTTGTCAGTTGCATCTGATCTAACCGGTCCTGTTTCACAACTGTATAAAGACCTTATCTACTTACTTTCCACTTCAGAACTTTGGTCATGAGTCAAGTTCAGAGTTCATAAATCTCTGGCAGTGCCAGTAGCTATCTATTCCAAAGGTGGAACTCATACTTGATTAGTAGTTTTTAAAAAATGAATTCTTCATATACCTTGATTAAATGATTAAAAAGATATCCAGAAGGGAAGAAAGCACATCCTACGTGAAAAGATGTACTTTGCAATCAAGAAAAAAAAATAAATAAAATAGAGGTAAAACAGAAAAGCTAAATACTGGGTGTCAGACATGTAATCCCTGGTTACTCACTAGAATCATTCAATTCTTTAAAGAACAATCCCCAAATTTAGACTTAAACTATATAGAAACTACAATCTCCAGGAACTCAAGTATTCATTTGCTGTTAAGCACTCTGAAGAGATCACTGAATCTGTGTTACATTCCTATTAACCTATATAACGGCTTTCAGAGGAAAGTTCAGGGAAAACTTTCATAAAGTCATATTTATTTTTATAATACTAAAGACATTTGCTTTTCTACTATCATTTTTATTGCTAATACAACAAGACTTATGGTAACAAGAAAATTGTCATTTTAACTTTTCTCTTACAAACCTGTTTTGGATATCTTGTGTGATTAATTGCACCTTTGACCAGGTGAAAAAAACCAGAATATAATGCCAGACGGAGCCACTAAATTTAATCCTTACTTTCTATGTCATTTCAAGCCATTAGTATTTTGGGCAATACACTTAGTATTTTACAAGTGCAATTCATGGCCAGTAACATCTCTAATAAAATATTGCATATTTTTTTTCTGACAACACTTAAAAAAGTAAAACATATATAGATTTACTATACAACACATCCTTCCAAAGTCATTCTACAAATACAAGAATACATGTAATTCTTCCAACCCTTCACTTTCAGTTACACATCCACATATTCAACAAATCATACATTAAAGCATCTGGAGCAGAAATCTGCACATCAGCATTGAACATACCAGCCACGTTTTGTTATTGTTCCATAGAGACGTTCGATAAACCTGAGGCCTGGCTTTACTTACTAGGTATGCGATCCCAGGCAACTCAGGCGCCCTACTTTTCACTTCCTTTACCTGCAAATATCTCAGAAGTCAGGAGTTTAGACAACACTTAGAAACTGCATCTTTAAAGTAGAACTTGTACATATCAAGCACTAATAAACCAAAGCTTGTTATTTTTGGAAAAAGTTAAAATACTGTTCATCTTAAATTATCCTGATCTTACTTAAGTAGGAGATGATGAAAATGTACCTTTGACTGGTTCTAAGAGCAAAGTAATTCTACGCGTTTCTAGGTAAATTGACAAGAAAGCAATTTTTCAAGTTTTGTAACAGCTTATTAACAACATCCTTTTGACCAAGTATATCTTACTGTGCAGTAAGGAGAAAAAAAAAAGGCTGCAATGGACAATAAATAAAATCCTTACCCAGAGAACAAATATAAACCAGTAAATGCTATCTCCTTTATGAAGTGCTAATATTGTGTAGCAAGGAAACTGCAACTTATGTTTAAATATAAATGCCTACATGTAAGTCATTGTCAATAATTAAGCAGGAGGGACTACTTGAGCTTCTGACCAAGGCTGTATACTATAGGAGATGCTCAAGCAACTTCTGGGAACTCAAATTCAGTCTCTTCTCACTGTAGAATGTGAGGTCTAGTGGGGATAGGGGAGTCCTGGCTGCTTTTGAGATGATAACACAAACATGCTTTCTCTAGAAATATGGCTTTTAAACTCACCTAAGTGGTAGTGCAGGGAGATCTGGCATTTACCATAACACTGATAAGATGCATTCATAAAGTTTTTCTCTGTGTAGCCCTGGCTGTTCTGGAACTCACTCTGTAGACCAGGCTGGCCTGGAACTCAGAAATGCGCCTGCCTCTGCCTCCCAAGTGCTGGGATTAAAAGCATGCGCCACCACTGTCCAGCCATTCATAAAATTTTAAAGATCTATTACTAATGTCTACTTTATCTGTGCCCTGGCCACAGGGCCTTTCTGTTCCTTGTTATGACCTTTGTTGTTGCTATTTGTGATCTACAGTGCAAGGTTTTCTGAGGTCTAAACTATTAAACAGTCCACAACAACACACACACAGGAATTCCCAATAAGGGTGGTGGTCTTAGATCAAGGCCCAGGCCTGGCATTACTGTGAGGAAGCACTTTAAGCTCCTACAAGACAGATCTACCTTTGTAGGGAACTCAAATCATTAAAAACATTCGTTTGCAAAGAAGGATCATTAGAATTGAAAGAACGATGAGGGAGGGGCCCCATCTCGCCATTGATTCAACAGGTAAAACGGAAAGAGTAGGAGCTAGTGTTAAGAAAACCCGCAATCCATTAATTACTAACGAAAGATGCAGGTTGGGTTACACACGGAACACATAAAAGGGGGAAAGGTGGAAACTGAGACTCCAGCGTTTCAAGGTGGATATTCGTCCAGATATTTGTAACCGATCGCAATCGGCTTACTGGAATGCCACCGCAATTCCACTCCGCAACGCAGCAAGTCGGCCTCTTTGCCGTCCACCCGGGCTTTTCCTAGGACTGTTGGCCTGATGCTCCAGGATGAGCATCGGGGGCCGCATGACTCCCGGCCTGTGCACCCTCGGGTCTCGGGAGAATCACGCTAGCGCCAGGGTTCCCACGCCCCACAGCGCCCGCACCAACCCCGCCGACCCGCGCGAGCCGCCGCCCCTTCGAGAAGCTCAACCGCGGCCAGGTAGCCCAGGTTCTTACCATAGTGAGGCCGGTGCTGGTCCAGCCACATCACCCTTCCGGGCCGGGGCGGAAGAGGATGCACGCCTGCTGCGCTTCCCGCTCGCTCCGGCGGTCCGGTTGGACCTATCGTCGCGCCTCCGCCCATGCCGCGCCATCCAGACTCCGTGATAGGCTTCTGTTACCGGAAGAGGTGGGGCTTGGCCGACGACTCGCAGCCCACGATATTAGCGGATGCTCTCATTGGGCGCACAAGTTTATGCTGGGTGGCCACATTTTTTTTTTTTTAGAAGACCGGAAGTGGAGTCACACAGAGGTAGGGCCCGGAAGTGGCTGTGGTGTCTTTCCACCAGCAATGCTATTTTTCTTGCGCTTTCCTCTTTTTTCCTTCCTATGTCAACCTCCTGTTGTTCCCTGATATTAGCTCAGTGCGTGTTTTTTACCCTGTCTGTGACCCCTGAGGCTTTTGTTTGTGGACCCTAGGAGATGTAAGGTTTTGCCAATGTGAGCACCTGTTGGGCACCCTCCTAAATTTCTTTTTGTGTCATGTGCAATTTTTAATAGTGAGAGGCACACTGGAAATATGTCGCGTTGCTGTGTGGTGGAGACTTGCATTCAGAAGGTTGCGTTCTATATGATGATCCACCACCCCCTCCCACCTGCCACTACTGGCCTTTGCTGTCCCCCTCCTTTTTGTATACTCTGCATCCGGGGCTTAGACGTTCTAGGCCCTAGAGAGGGAAAGAACTCTCTGGTAGCTACTGGAAAGGAACGGCCCGTTCCTGAGGGGAGTAATTGGCTAGTATAAAAACCATTGGGTGAGACACTATTTCACCTCTAGTTTTCTTTGTGAGTTTTGTAGATACGGGGAAGATGTAATCTGATGTGTTCAATTTTATGTAAGTTCTTGGAATGATTCTGAAGTTGGGCACTTTTCCCACTCTTCCAAGTGTATCAAAATTATGGAAATCCTGTGTGTTTAAATAACTTTATTTTCCTTAGGCAGTATGGTTCTAGTTTTTATAGAGAATGTTACCCATTTTCTAACTTAATGAACCAGAAAAGTGAAGGACACTAATGTGATATGTTAATATCTGAGCTCTATTTAGCAGAATCATGAGAATCCAGTACTTATGACAACACAATATTTTTACTTAGTGCTACCCTGTATGTGATTGTTTATTACTGCATGCCAACCAAGATTTTGTTTGAAATTATAACTACATTTTAAAAATCAGTTATATCCAGTTGCTGTATTTGTTGGTAAGATACTCGAATTAAGCATCTGCATCTTAGTGGTATCAGGAGACTGCAGCAGAAGAAGGGATGTTTCTTTGAGTATTTTAATGGGGGGCCAGGGATTAGGCCAATAGGAAATGATTGTTGAATAATCTCAAAATTGAATTGTGTTATACCTTATTCCAGATGACTAAACATGAATGTTCCAAATGTAGTTGTAGAAAGTACGTTCAGCAGCTTGATACGTTTGGTTTTTACAGTAGTGAAAATGTTGGTAGATGTTATAACTGACTTTTTTTCATATAAAGATTGCTAAGTCCTACTGTTTGGCACTTCAGGTTGATGTTTCTGTATGAGATTCTGCTCCAGGCTCTATTAAAGGCCACAGGAGGCTAAGGTTCCTAAAGATGGTAATTGGTTTGCTGTATTTGTGGACAATTTAGGCCATAGTTTGTTACATATCTAAACTTCAGAATAGTTGCAAATAACACTTGTCAGTTGTTAAAGTTGAACATGTCTATATAGTAGTTATCATATCCATGTAAAATAGCAAAATTAATCTAACAGTAAGACCTGTGGGGAAGCAGTATGATGGTTAGACGCACACAGCCCTTGATTTTGATTTTTGTTGCAAGTGAATGATAATCACCGTTTCAAATTCTTTATTTCCCCTTCTGGTAGCTCTGCTGTGATTTTCATTTCTAATCATCATGGGTCATTTTCCTGCTAATAGTAGAACTTGACTGTGTTATTCCATTATGCAGACGTTATTGTCTTCTCTGCATGTTGGAAGACTATTTTCAATTTTCATGTCATGATACCCACAGAGTTGTATATACAATGAGAAATGTATAGTTTTCTGTAGGAGTGAACTTAGCTTTCCTCACTGTTTTGAGGATTAAATGAATAAATATAACTAATCAAATCCTGTTTGATACATAGTGTTATAGTGTGCATTGAATTATCATTCTTGGGTGGAGGGTTAATGATGGAAAATTGATTGTTAGATGTGATTTACACAATGAAAGGTTTAAAATTAATTTGGTTTCTTATGCTGGCAACCACTTTCTCTACATTTTCTATTTTTTTATTTCTGATATTGATAGTGTTTGAGGTTTCTTTTTATTTTAGTTACCTATCTTATTTATTGGTACTCAAATATATATTATTGGGTTTTATTTTTATTTATCATCTATCATCTGTCTCCTTCCTTCCTTCCTTCCTTCCTTCCTTCCTTCCTTCCTTCCTTCCTTCCTTCTTTCTTTCTTTCTTTCTTTCTTTCTTTCTTTCTTTCTTTTCTCTCTAATTCTCAACCAAATACATAAATTGAAGCTAGGTTGTTTTGTTTTTGATTGCTACCTTTTCTCTTCCCCCATGACTCTTAGATAATGGCATGCAAGTTTTGTTTGACTGACATGTTATTTCTTTCATCTTAAGAAATGACTCTATTGTTTTTTTCCATTTCAGCCTAATTTACTTATTTTCCCCAGTAAATATCTATACAGTTTTCCTTTTTGTCCCAATTTTCAATGTTTGATTATTTTATATGTTTTCTCCAAAATAACTTCTCCCATACTACACCAAGATTCTATTCTTAATGTTAACCCAGTGATCTCCAGATGTTGATTATCTCCAGTCATGGTCACCGTGATGACAGCAACTCATATAAAGAAAAAAACATTTGCTTGGGGCTGTCCTACTTGTTCAGATGTTTAGTTCATTATAGTCATGAACTGCCCACAGCAACATGACTACCTGTAGGCAGACATGGTGATGGAGAAGGAACCAGAGTTTTATATCTGGAGTGGTAGGTACAGGAAGAGAGAGACTGGGCCTGGCTTGAGCATTTGAAATCTCAAAACCCACCTCCAATGACGCACTTTCTTTAACAAGGTCACACCTTCTAATAGTGCCAGTCCCTGGTGACCAAGCATTCAAATCTATAGACTATGGGGCCATTCCTGTTAAACCACTACAATCCCAAAATGAACACCTTTCCTCTATTACTTGTATTATATATTTTCATCTTGGTTATGGCAGTTGTGTGCAGCCAGTTTATGTAAGTTAAGTCTTTGGAGTTATTCTTCATTCCTATCTTTCCTTTTTATTCAGCTAAATCCATCACTAAATTTTCTTCACTCTGTCAGTCAAACATATTTGGAATCTCTCAGTCTCACTGCTTTTCCTGGACCGATTGTCTCTTGCTTGGATTTCTCTTCTATTAGGCTCGCTCTCCATCCCTCCCTCCCCCTCCCTCCCTCCTCCCCTCCATGAATTAGAGTTTTTACTCGTTTCTACTTTTTTTTCTCAGTCTTTTCCTCACAATATTGGTCAGACTTTTAAAAATTTGTCTTCAATTTTAAGTTGTAGGATTCTAAGTGTACCACATTTCCTTGAAGATTACATCTTAGAAAAGAACAAAAACATCAATAGAAAAATGCTAACTTCCAAGTAGAATCTGAGGTTCATTGTAATACATCAGTGTTGGAAATGTGGGATTTATTAAGTTTAAGTTGTTTATACCTCTCTTCTATTTTAATTTAAACAGAGTCAGGCTGTTCTCACATAAGATACCACCACTCCAGCTCATATGTAGTCTTTCCTGATTGAAAAATATGCTCAGTACTGAAATTTACTGGGATCATGTGTGGAAAAGCATTTGCACTGCCTACCTCAAACCTACCTCTGGTAACTGTACCTATTTATCTGTCTGTTTACTAATGGCAACCAAAAAAAAAAGAGCAACATTGGGATACAAGAGAAATGAGTATCAATATTGGGGAGAAAACTGTACAATCTCGCAAGTTGTTAGTATCTACAGTTGAACCACATGCATAAAAGTCTTAAGAATCAATCATAGGCTACCAATATTTAACAGTTTAGTCAAACAACAGCAGCTTTATGGGGTTTACATAATGATAAACTGCGTTGGTACCATGAGTACATAAATTCCTAAGTAGATGAGTAATTATATACTATGTTCCAGAGAGAAGTCCTAACACCCTCGCCAAAAATTTTATTTTGTGTTCTGTTGGTGATAACTATTGTACCCAAATCTTAATAAAGCCCTATTCTCTTTCATAAAAATATAATTTCTAGGGTCTTCTGAGCTATGCAGATCCAAAACCAAATATCCAACCAACCAACCAATCAAACAAGGAAACAACAGTAACAGCATCACCCCGCCCCCTGCTACCCGAAAGGGGTTGGGAAGATGGCTCAGTAGGAAGGGCTCTTGGACTATCAGCATGAAGACTCTAGTTCAGATTTTGCAACCACATTAGTAGCAGGGCATAGCTGGGTATCTCTATAATCAAGGCATTGTGGGGTAGAGGCAGACAGATCCTAAGTATTCTTTGGCAGAAAGTCTAGCATAAAACATCAGCTTCTGCTTTAGGAAGAGACCTCATGTCAGGCAGTAGGAGAAAGAGCAATAGAGAAGACACCCTAAGATCTGTTCTGACCTCTGCATGGATATGCATGGGCCCACTTGTGTTCATGTACCACACATACCACACACAAAAGTAAACACAATGTAGTGATATAAATCTGCCTTTTTGCCTAAATTTTTAAATCCCTGTTTTGAATTTTTAAAAATATGATAAGGCTTTAAAAATCTGTCATCATACTTTTGCTTTGAAATTACATTTTCTTTTCCTTTTTCTAAAAGTAAAGTCTAGCAAAATAGTACAAGCAGGAATCCACTTATAGATGATTAACAGCTGCTTCTGTAGAGTAATTTTTATTCTGAATTCCCATTAGGTATCAGCCCATTTTTCTTGACTAGGGGACCATGTAAGTGATTGCATTATTAGAAACTTGAGTTTATCCCCTTCTAGTCTGTATGTACAAGTCCTTGGCAAAGCTGCAGCATTTGGACACCTGCAGTCCAAGCAGCTTGAAGAGAAGCCATCACTGACTATTAAGAGAAGGGAAAGAAGCTCAAGTTCAAAATGGTGTTATCAATGATACAGTGTTGTAACTAACTTGAGCTGACCTAAGCACTGGCTTCTGCCATGTTCCTTATCAGCATCCAAAAGGGCATACAAAATGCTTTGTAAACTAATTTAAAAAGTGTCTTGTTTATTCAGAAGCAACTGTGAATGGTATTTGTTCAGACCAAGATCACATCAATTGCACACCAGCCAACAACGTATTAGTCTTCTAAGAGAGAGGCCATGTATCAAAGACACAAAGTACTAAAGATAAGCTTCTCAATTCTCAACTGTTCTGAGCTCTCAATAAAGCTACTGATGTACCAGTTGGGGTGGGACCCAAGTGGTTCCACCTGCAGACTCCTCTTAGATCCATGGCTTTGGCTGAGAGAGGTGCTGATACTAATGTGCCCTTTAGTACTCTTAGGAAACAAAACATGGGCTCTCTTATAGCCTCAATCAATCAGCGTCTCTGAAGAGGATTCCACTCATTTTCTCCAAGTAGATCTGTGGCAAAACACTGGCTATTTCTGTGTACAAGGCTGGTAGGAGCAAAATTATGCTTGATTTGCTGAGTCTTAAAGGAATTTTGGACTCTTTTGTGTTATTGTGGTTGATTCTTGAATATTTTTATTTGATATTTAGTGAGAGGGTAGTCTTGGTAGAGTGATGCATTACTTAAGCAATTAGCTCAAATGTAGATTATCAAGACCTAATTTAAATAATATACTTTTTGAGGCTCCTGAAGCACAGATTACTTACAGGATCCAGAGTTATCATATGTAAGTGTGCTTATTAATACGTGTATCACTTAAATCTGGTTAACGTCTTGCTTCACTAGCAGGTAGACTAAAGTTGGAATGGCATGTTTCATGGTCTATTCCAATTTCAAACTTAGGTCCTCAAACACTAATTATTTAAAATAAAATTAGCTTAATTTTATGAAGTTTTAAATTAATGAGAAAATTGGAAGATAATTGAACTGTTACAATTAAAATATATTTTTAGAATTTATCTGATCCCTTGCTGTCTTTTGAACATTATTGATCTTAAAACCCTTCATGTTATTGTGAAATAATGTGTGACTGACAGGCATCTAGAATATTGAATTTTAAATGATTTTTGTCTCTATATGTAGGAATTTGTTAGTGATTCTAAATATGGAATTTAAAAAAGCAATGGAAAGCCTGCTTTATGAGTGCTGGATTTTCCTTTTACAAAGTTAATGCTAATAATAGCTATGTCTCTGCAGGCATGTGTGAGAAGAAATAATTGTCCGTGCATACACACACACACACACACACACACACACACACACACGTACATGCATATCTCTGTATGCCATGTTGTGTAATGTTTTTTGTGAAAGTCTATAGAAATAAAATTTGGCATTCTGAAAGTAGTTTTAATAATCTCACCCCCAAACACAAAGTAAGATATTTTTCTTCTTGTTTGCTCGCTTTTTGTTTATCAGTGTGTTGATGTGTATGCATATGTGTGTGCATGCACCAGAAGACATGAGGCTAACCTTGGATGTTATTCCTCTGTTTGGATCTTTATTTTTGAGGCAAGATCTTTCCATAGACAAGGCTGGCTGGCCAGTGAACCCTAGAAATCTGCAGGTTTCTTCCATGCTTCTGTTGTAAGCTCTTTATCAACTAAACTCTCTCCACATCCCCCAAGTTAGGGTTTGAATCCACATGAATTATGTGCTCCTGGGTGAGAGAGGCAGCTCATCCAGCTGAGTGATAACCTAGTACTCAAGTATTATTGGCTTCCTTCTCTAGCACTACAGAATACTAGGTGTGGTGTTATATGCTTGTGATCATAAATATGAGAAGTAGAAGCAGGGAACTCAGATCACTTCAAGGTCATTCTCAGGTACATAGCAAATTCAACATTGAGAACATCGAGGACTCCATGACATCTGGTCTCAAACAAAAATGCTCTTAACTATAAACACTAGTAATAACGTTGGATGAGACACTAGAAGATGTAAAGACTTCCGTGTTTACAAAGAAACAGAAAAGTAGCCCACAAATTCCATTCAGTCCCCAGAAAACTACAATAATATGTTTTTTAGAAACAGAAAAATTAAATCCATATAGAAGCTTAATTGAATATAATAAAGGATTCAGAAATTTATTCACACAGTTACAGTCACCTGATTTTCCACAGAGATGCAGGAAACACACACTGGAGAAAAGATAGGATCTTTAACAGATACTAATGGGAAACTGGATTTCTAACTATAGAAGAATAAAACTAGATCAGCGTCTGCCACCCTCCCCCAAACTGGATTCAAAATGGATGAAAGATTTTAATGCAAGGTCTGAAACTCTGAAAGTGTTAGGGGAAAAATAGAGAAAACCTTTCAAGACGTACCTATAGATACGAATTTTGGAAAGTGACTCCAGTAATTTAGGAAGTAATCCCAAGAGTGTGATTGTAGTACTTTCAAATGCTTCTGTAGAGCAGAAGAGAATATAGAAAGAAGAGACAGCCCTAGATTAGGGGAATTCCATTGAGAGCTATATATTTGATATAGGATTAATATATATAAAGAACCCAATAAATACCAAAATGCGAGACAACTCATTCTCTAAGTGACTAGTGAGACGAAGAGATCTCAAAAGATGAAGAACAAATGACCATTAGCATATGGGGAAAGTTCATCTTTAGCTACCAGCAAAAGCCTTTCCTTTTCCTTTCTTTTCAGTTAGTCTGAGTTACCATAAATAAAAAAATAAATGTTTATGAGAGTACCAAAAATATTAAACTCTTATATACTACTGATGAGGTTGTAAATTAGTGAAGACACTATGGAAAATAGTTCTTGCTTTCTTCTAAAACCTAAAAGTAGAACTGCCTTATAAGTCAGCTATATCCACCCTATTATATACAGCAAGGAGGATAAATTACTATTCTACCAAGGTATTTGAGTGTTTATGCTTTTTGCAGTGGTGTTCACAATGGTCAGTTTATATAGCCTTGGGATCTCTCAACAGATGAATATAAAGATATGTGATAATCAGTCATAAAGAACAAAATTATGTCATTTGCAAGAAAATAAATCATTATTGGAGATCATCATATTAATAAACTAAAATAAACCAGACTCAGACAAATAACATTTTCATTCTTTTGGGAACCCTGGAGTTTTATATCGATATGTAGATTCACACACACACACACACACACACACACACACACACACACACCGAGTAGAGGGAAGGAAGACATACAGCAAATAGACTGAGGACTCCTAAGGCCCTAAAGAAAGGACTAAAACTGGAAGTAGGCAAGGGGAGAGAAAACTAGGAATGAAAATGGATATGGTCACAGATACACACATATGAAAATGCCTATGAAAGCCACCGCTGTGTAGCTTGACTATACAGCAATACAAGGTTAATACAGCTCCAAAAGGAGAAGTAACCTAGCTTAAGATAAAATGTACTTTCCCTCTAGTTCTGTGTACCTTTCGCCATGTAGATTAGGTGTGTAGTACAACCTTCATCAATTTTACTAATTGACAACGAAGGTAGGATTCTGTAGGATTATGCATTCAAAATTGTCAGTTTCAGTTCTCAAAACCAAAGAGACAAATAAGAGACTTCATTAAAGTTAACTAAATTGAAATACATACAGAAGTGGTCATATATGTATGCATATGCTGACACCTTAACAGATCAATCTCATGTGTTCAAAAAGAAAACAAAAACAAATTATATGATTCTCTAATGATACACGTTTTTGTGATTTTTTTCAAATACTAGTAATCCATATTTTTCTAACAGTTTTCAAATTCAACTCTTACAGAGTGAGTAACTTACTGTAAAGTGTCTGACTAGTTGATGTAAAGGTAAATATTCACAAATTCCTGAGGCATTTTGGAATTAATTGCATCCATGCAGAAAGTACATTAAAGGAAATAGTTTGAACAAATGAAGTATATGTTATATTGTGTGATTATAATGTCAAGGGTTCAATCTTAAATGTTTGTTTCTTTTTTTGCACATTTGAAGTGGGCTCAATTATTATTTCTTTATATATATATCTATATATCTTTATATATCGTATAAATATATGTAGACTATATATATAATATATATGGGTTATTTTCTTTATTTATATTTATTTATTTATATTTCAAATGTTATACTCTTTCCCAGTGTCCCACCCTGAAAGTCCCTATCCCATCACCCCTCCCCTGCTTCTATGAGGGTGTTCTCCCACTCACCCACCCACCCACTCACCCACCCACTCACTTCCACCTCGGTGTCCTCATATTTCCCTACACTGGGGCATCGAGCCTTCATAGAACCAAGGGCCTCTCCTCCAATTGATACCCATCTAGGCTGTCCTCTGCTACATATGCATCTGGAGCCATGAGTCCCTCCATGTGTACTCTGTGGTTAGTTGTTTAGTCCCTGGGAGCTCTGGGGGGGGGGGGTCTGGTTGGCTTATATTATTGTTCTTCCTATGGAGTTTCAAACCCCTTCAGCTCCTTCAGTCCTTTCTCTAACTCTTCCACTGTGGATTCCATTTGGGGATGACGTGCTCATTCCAGTGGTTGGCTTGTGAGTATCTACCTCTGTATTTGTCAGGCTGTGGCAGAGCCTCTCAGGAGACAGCTATGTCAGACTCCTGTCAGCATGCACTTCTTGGCATCAACAATAGTGTCTGGGTTTGGTAACTGTATATGGGATGGATCCCCAGATGGGGCAGTCTTTGGATCGCCTTTCCTAAAGTCTCTGCTCCACATTTTGTCTCTCTCTGTATAGTTTACAAATTAGGCCAAGAGAACAAACTACAGAGTCAATATAATTTCAACAATTGAAATACGAGATTGCCATCCTGTAAAAACACCAAGAATAATATTAAAAACTGTACGTATATAGGCTGTAGCAAAGTGTAACTCAGAAAATAAAAGTTGTTGAGAAGTTTAAGCTGATAACAAATCTGATAATGCAAGACTCATAGTACTGACCAAAATAAGCACATTTTGATGAATTATTTTGACGAATTATATTTCACAGCTATATTTATCTAAAATAGACATCAAATTGTCAAGAAATGAAAACAGATTAATAACATCAGTAAAAATAATAAACTAAATGAAAACATTGCCAATGTTGAAGACAGGAGTGTATTTATATCTAATAAGTATATATGTAAAAAGTGTAATACCCACTACTCACCAGGGAATTTGAAATGAAATCACAATGTGATGCTAGAATTTGCTCACCCATGTGGCTAAAATGGACCAAAGGGGAAATAGTTGTTTAGGACATTTATATACCAATCATAATTTTATGCAGCTTTGAAGGAACTTGGCGCTATACTACCCAAACTCAATACATGATATCTTCTGCTCCAGCAGTTCCATTTGAAGGAATGTCTCCCCTCCCCCCCGCCACAGCCTATGCAAAGACATTTGTAGAATGTCATGGCAGCAATGTTTGTAGTAGTTAGGACCTGTAAAGTTCCTAATGGCTGTCCCTAGGAAAAAAATAGTAAATCAGTTTGATTAATCAATGTTCTGAATGATGTATAACTGTAGAATATAGTGTGGATGAATGTCTCAAATATGTTTATTCAAAGAGACCATTTCTTATGTTAGAGAGAGGAGAGGATCTATGCATTCCTGAGGACAGGGAAATATCAATTTACTCATATTGTAATTTTATTTAGCCCATCAGTTTGGCTGATTATTTGCCCTTTAAGAGCTTCTGCTTTTCTCATCTGTAAAAGCTGCCAGTAACTATTGAGCAAAACTATGACTTCTGAGTTCAATGGTTGGCTCCATTGTACAACATCTTACTTTTATTTTTTTGGAGTCTGTATAGCTGAAAAAGAAGGATAAAAGTTATCACCATTGGATTATTGTAGTCTCCTTTTAAATGTTGATTTTGTTCTTTCATTACAGGTAGCTAGAAATGGAAAGGAAAGTAAGCAGAATCCATCTTGCTTCTGAACCCAACTTAACTTATTTTCTGCAAGTGTCTTGGGAGACAACCATAGGATCTGGTTTTGTTATTACACTTACTGATGGCCACTCAGCCTGGACTACAACAGGTAATCTTGACAACAGACATGTTTCAAATAAAATTTAAATAATGTCCTACTCTTAAGTCCTCAGAGACTCTTCAAGTTAAAGTGTTTCTTCATAGACACAGGTAACATCAATACTCCATCTTCCGTGTTTTGCATTTCCAAGTTGTATATGAGGCTGTAATAGTTGATATTGTTTTCTAGAATTGACACTATGTACAGTAGCTAATTCTGCCTGCTATGTCCACTTTATTGCTTGGACCTACTCATGGTTTTATAATGGTCTTTTTACAGAAAACGCAATAATTTTAAAATATTTATCTTTCTTGGGACCTGGGGGAAGCTGGAACTTAGAGGAAGTAGATTGTGGGGCCAAGAGACAGTGTTGGATTGTAGGTGTGGAGTCCTCATGCTACGCTTTCACTTTATCTAGTTGTTTAGCTTGAATTTCTTTTGAATGCATTTTTTTTTTTTTTTGTGGTTTTTCGAGACAGGGTTTCTCTGTGTAGCCCTGGCTGTCCTGGAACTCACTCAGTAGACCAGGCTGGCCTCGAACTCAGAAATCCGCCTGCTTCTGCCTCCCAAGTGCTGGGATTAAAGGCGTGCACCACCACCGCCCGGCTTTTTTTCTTTTTCTTTTTGAATGTATTTGTAATGCAGTTTTAAAAAACAAAACAGACCTCCACCCCAGTATGTGGAAATTGTGCTGTTTTGTCATAGAGACTCACTTTTGAAAAAAAAATTTTAACTGATCTTTTAAGCTGTGAATAGCTTCAAGTCGTGAAGAGCATATGGCAGGGGCTCCTCGTTAGTGCAGGGGGTAGCATGTCACTCTCAGATTGTGGCAGGAATAAAGTTAAAAAGTTAGATATATGTTGTTTCCAAATACTGAAGTTGTAATATTTTTAAGGATTTAATAAAACCCTTTCTTTGCAGTTACATAACACAATTATTTCTAGAGTTGTAGATGGCATATTAGATGAAAATTTAAGAATTTGTTTATATACCATTTATATATTCTGACATAATTTCCGTAAGATTTATCACTATAATTATTATTTCTCAAATTACAATCCATCACAAAATTCTGTTTCATTCTTGTCTGGTACCCGGCACGATCAAAACGAATTATAGTTTTTTTATCTGGCTTTCATGGCAGGAAATGAGGAATGTTTACATACTTGTATTATAGAGAAACAAAGGGATTGCAAGGATAATGTATGTAGTACTTCCTGTGGTGACGATTTGAGATGTATATTTCTCTGTGAGTTATGCCAGTGGCTGACTGCTTCTGGCAGGTAGCAGTGAAGTGAGATTTGCTATGTTAGCCCTATGGAGGGAGTATACCCGTATGACAGCTCTTGTTTCAAAGAGTAGACAATGGGATGGCTAAAACCATGGTAATGGCTCAGAGCAGACCTTTGTTAACTGAGTGGACTCAACAGACTCTATTTATACACACACACACACACACACATAAACAATAATTGCAGAAGAGAGTTTTAACTATATAAAACTCATTAGAAAAAAGAAAGTAAACTGATCACTTGATGGTTAGCATCTGTGTAGATGAGAACTCTAGCCTCCTTATTTGTTACATTATGCATTTATCCTGAATTCAGTGCATTCTTGATTATGTTCTCTTACTAATGTAATCCAATGTGACAGAATCATGCTGGGAGACCTTTCACTGTACTCTTCGGTGGTGTGTGAACATTGTGGCTTCTGGTACTAACCATATTTCAATCATGGAATTTTAAAGTGCAGTCTGTAATGATTTTATCTTCAAAATTATCCAGTGACATTTTAGATTTTACATATATTTTATGCCTTGCACTCAATTATATTTTCTTGTTTAACTATTAGGGCAAATGTATAAGCAAATATAGGAATGTATCTTTTTAAAACTTGTTACATGCATGTTGTATGGTACTTTACAGACATCATACAATTAAGAATATTGAAACAATTAAATAAATGATACATGAAAATAGATTTCCTTCCTATACTTCTTCCTGTGTTTTAGTTGTTGTTGTTCAACTTTTTAATTGCTGCAACCTTCAATTATGTGTAATTTTTACTCTTCTCATTTAAGTGGAAAGGATGTGAGGTTTGTTTTAATCTCTCCCACACTAAGCCTGGTGATTTTTTTTTCCCATTAGCAATGCTTTATCTAATGAATGTTTGGGGACCTAATTATAATGTGGCCTGTCATCAGTCACTTCTGTATTACAGAGTTTTATGTCGCAGGGTCATTTCACAAAGTGGGTTAATGATTGATGATCACTATGTTCCTGGTAAAATAATTGCTTTTGGTAGCAAGAAACTTATATCACCTATCTGCAGGGTGTCTTTATGTATATTGGAGATAAATTAAAACCTTACTAATGTTTTACTGTCAAATATTTAGATTTTTGTATAATTTTTAAACAGGTGTTTTGTTAACTATATGTAAATAATATTACAAAACTCATAAGACTTTTGTTAATTATATGTAAATAATAGTATAAAACTCATAAGAAAGGCCTTTTGTAAGTAGATCTCCTATGTGAAGCCACTCGTATTCCTAATGCGGTAAGGTTGGTGTCTTCTGCCCTCTGACACAGGGCAGGATGATCTGTGCAGTCTTTACTTACACATAGGAGCATTCTTTGAGTATGTCTTTACAAATAGTCTCAAAATGATGCTTGTAGAGTCTCTGCTAGTCTGACAATAGTTTCTCTGTCCTCTCACCTTGTAATGAAGTGGTTTAACTTCATTCTGGATGGAGTTTAATCTCACCATGTTTTCCTGTCAGCCATTTCAAGTTTAGAACAATGAATGCATATGGATGTACCATTGTTCTTTGCATAAAAGTAAGCTGGCAAACAAGTTATTTTTCCAAGATTACAGTTTGGAGTAGACAATTAAAATCTCATCTTCCCTTTAAATAGGTAATGTTTGGTCATGCTTTTAAGAAAGATTCTCTTTCACATAGGATTTTTCTTTTGTTATGCTAAATTTTTAAAATTTTAATTTACATTTTTAAGAATTTTATATGAGTACTGTATTTATATCATTTACACATCTCCTCCTCTCCTAGCTCCAACTCCTCCTGTGCATTCCCATTCCGTCTCAAATTCCTGTCCCTTTCTTTTTATATGTATATATTTATTTATGTCTGTATAAATACAGTCTCTTGAGTTTCTGTGTTGTCCATATGTTTGTGCATTTAGGGCTGACCACTTCTGGTTGCATAACATATCAGGGGGCTCCTCCCTGGAGAAGACTGATTCTCCCGTGCCCAGCAGCTATAAATTGCTTATAGTTTTTCATCTAGGAGTAGAGATTTCTGAGATTTCTTCCATTGAGGTTGGATGTCACCTGGCATTGCTATTATGTGGGTTGTTTTTAAACTTCTGTAATATTGAGATTTTGTGGATATCACTTAACTGAGATATATAGAAAGCACTATCTCCCAGCAAACATTCAGGTTTTCTGGCTCTTGAAATCTGTCTATTCATTCTCCCTTGATTTTCCCCAAGCCTTAGTTGTAGGGATTGTTGTAGGTGTATCATTGGCATTGAGAATACTACAGCCTCTTGTTCTCTGTATTTTGACCAATTGTAGATTTTTTAAAAGTTATAATTACTTTTATTTATTTTTTTATAATCCAGTCATTGCCCCCTTCCTGGTCTCCCCTCCCACAGTTCATCAACTCATTCCTCTTTCTCACTGTCTCCAAGAGGATATCTCTGCCCCACTGTCCCCCCACCAAAACTCCCTACTCCCTGGGGCCTCAAGTCACTTGAAGGTTAGATGCATCTTCTCCCACTGAGGCCAGACCAGGCAGTCCTTTGTTGTACATGTGTTGAGGGCCTTGGACCAGCTGGTTTATGCTGTCTGGTTGGTGGCTCAGTGTCTAGGAGATCTCAGGTGTTAAGGTTAGTTGAGATTGCAGATTTTCCTATGGGGTTGTCCTGCTCCTCAGCTTTTTCCAGCTTTTCCCTAATTCAACCATGGGGTCCCCAACTTCAGTCAAATGGTTGGGGGTAAGTATCTGCATCTGTCTCAATCACCTGCTTTTTGGGTCTCAGGGGACCACCATGTCAGGCTCCTATCTGTAAGCACACCTTGGCATCAGTAATTGTGTCAGGCCTTGGAGTCTTCCCTTGAGCTGGATCCAAATTTGGCTAGTAACTGGACCTCCTTTCCCTCAGTCTCTTCTCCAGGTTTGTTCTGAAGTTTTTTTAGACAGGAACAATTCTGGGTCAGAGTTTTTGACTGTGGGATGGCAACCCCATCCCTCCACTTGATGTGCTGTCTTTCTACTGAGGATCAACTCTCCCTTGGAGTCCTGCGAGTCTCTCACCTCCCAGGTCACTGGTGTTTTTTAGATGGTCCTCTCACCTCCCACCCCCTGAGGCTGCATATTTCCATTCACTCTGCTGGCACTTTGGGCGCTTCTCACCCCACACACCTGATCCTGTTCCCCTTTTCCTCTCCCCCTCCCATCTCTCACCCAGGTCCCTCCCTCACTCTGTCTCCTAGTTTTATGTTGAGGTCCTTGATCCACTTTGACTTGAGCTTTGTGCAAGGTGACAATATGTGTGAATTTTCATTTTTCTACATACAAACTACCAATTAGACCAGTACCATTTATTGAGTATACTTTTTTTTCCACTGAATATTTTTTGGCTTCTTTGTCAAAGGTCAAGTATCCATCAGTGTATGGGTGTATTTCTGGGTCTTCAGTTCTATACCATTGATCAACTTGTCTGTCTCTATACCAATACCGTGCAGTTTCTTCTTTGCCAATTAGTATTATCCTCTTGACCTCTTTTTTGTTGTCTTATTTTTCAAGAACTTCAAGTCCTATATTGCATAGATATGGGAGAGTCGGGCAGCCTTGTCTTGTCCCCGATTTTAGTGGGATTGCTTCAAGGATCTATTCATTTAATTTGATATTGGCTGTTGGTTTGAAGTAAATTGTTTTTTATTATGTTTAGGTATAGATCTTGAATTCCTGATTTCTCCAACACTTT